ATAGTACATCACTACAATCTTTGCAGATACCCTTACAAAAGGTAACAGATCAAGAGAATACTTCTCTGCTACACAGGGGTCGTTTCGTAAAAAAGAGCTAGGGGAACACATTAGCATAACTCATTAGCATATGCCACACCCCCTGACATCACCGGAAGTGTGTCATAAGGCCACACCCCCTGACATCACTGGAAGTGTGTCATAAGGCCACACACCCCGCCCCCAACGGTCCCGGCCGCCGCTGGCGGCCTTGCAGCTCCACTGCCGAGCCCCATGAGGGGCCCGGCGGTGGACCTGCAAGGCCGGTGGGAGTGCAAGGAAGCCCTGCGAAGGCCCTCCCTGGCCCCAGGCAGGCAGGGGTGGGGAGAGGCAGGGAGGAAGCAACTTACCCTCCCCCTTCTCCTGCCTCCTCCTGGCTGAATGAGGGCCGGAAGCGGGGCGGACAGAAGCAGGGGACGGGGCTTCGTCATGTGCCCCGCCCCCCGTACCTCACCCGGGGGAACTGCGATCCCCCCCGAAATGACCTCTGCTGCTTCAGCTATTGCTATGGAGAAGAGGTAAAAATTTAGGGCTGGGACACGTTACAGTCGCTGTAGGGATACAACCAAGTCTCACTGGGGCAGTCATCGTTTCCCAGACCATGCTGTATGGAAGCACTTACTGTGTGCGGAGCTTAGTTGTCCTACTGCAAATTTCCATTCCATATTCTCTTAGGTTCCTAGAAAGGTACATAGCCTTGCAACATAATGAGCAAGCTCCATACAATAAAGGCTTCTAAACATCATGAGCCACATGAGAATCATTTACCACAGGGAGGTCAGTTCTGGCATCATCCTCTGGCAATCTGGGTACTCCAGCCCTTAAGCAAAAACCAGGAAAATGGAAGAGACAGCAACTTCTATGTTTTTAATCTCCTAATAGTGGGCCTGCCATAATTCTGATGTATAAGTAGTACTCCAATTTGCTTCTGAAATATAGATGTATCAGGGTTGTCTACTACACCTAAAAAGTTTGCACTGCATTGACTTTCATAATACCAGGAAAAATTGTAAAGAGCGGATTAAAGCAGGGAAGACAAAATTTAAAGTCTCCCTCTATGTACATTATGCACCATTATCGCTCTAAGAATCTATGAAATCTTTAAAGCAGGTTTTATTAAAGTTTATGAACTCAGTACTGCTTCAGATTACAAAATCAATTAATCCAATTCAGACTCTCTTTATTTATGTTTGACAAAGGATCAGAAAGAGTCCTTACAAGAGCTTTATCATCATCTATTCAATATCTGGAGATTAAGGAGATTCAACCAGTCTAAATAGTTTTTTACCAGGGTAAATCATCATTCACTAGTCATCAAGATGTACTGGCACAGCAATATTAAATACTATCTTCAGAAATTAGATATGTATTTTCCTGCAAGCATTAAAACATTCTACCATATTATCTTTTTGTTCATAATACTGTTAATGATCAAAGAACAAAATAAACGGAACATAACTTAGAGGCAACATCTGTTAACTAGCTTGACTAGATCTAGGGACATCAATCAGTTTAGCAGACTGTAAAATAAACTCAGCATAAAGTGAAAGTCAATGATCTATAGTAGATTGCTATAACAGAAACTCACATTAACACTCCAGGTAAAAACAGTTAACGTGTTGAATAAATTACTGAACTTTGGTAGCTGCATAAGGCAACAACCAGGAAATGTTGAACATAAAGGCAACACAACTTTGCCACTCAACTTTTAGCTAAAGCCATCCAATTTAAAAGTAATGAAATAATAATTCTAAGTCAGATAAGTATATGAGGGGTTTTATGTTTCAGTGTCAGCCAGACCATATTCCAAGTCAGACTTTAAGAAAATCTCAAGAGAAGGGAGTATGGAATTTAATAATGAAAAAGGGAAGGGCATCAGCATGTATAATGTTACACTATATACAGATCCATTTTAAACAGTTTTGATTACAGCAACAAAACAATGACATCTATTTGCTGGCAGGTACTGAGAATATATAATATTCTTTTTAGTTTTACCCAACCTTTCCACCCAAAAGGTCTTCAGGGTGTATAGATCACCAGTATTGTTGTACACACTAGCAGGGATTCTCCAAAGCTCTCAACCATAGGTCTTTCAAACATGCTGAGTGAGATCCTTTAGCTAGAATCTCTTCTTGTTCCATTTTTATTCCCCTTATATTGTATGTATTTACTTATGCTTCTTTGAGTCATATTAAGCTTTAAAAATGTAATAATCAAAACTTTGTCTTTTGTGGGGTGTTGGGGGTACTGTATCCCATATATTTATAAATTATTACAAATTTTATTTATAAATATTAATGACATTAACATCACCAGTTATTATCACACCCTCCAGAAAAATAGTTACTCCTGGTATTCAGGAATGAACCGGGAACTCGTGCATGCAAACTATGCTCTATTACTGACCTCTGGCCCCACCCAACCCATTTTCTTAATCATAAATTATTTTTCATACAAACATCCAATTTTACCAGGACATTATCTATGGCATCTAAAAAGATGCAATAATCCTAAAACAATCCACATGTACTTTATTTTATATTACATGTCTTTTATTTCTATCCATCCTCTTCCTCAAAGAACCCAATGCAAATTACAATTAAAAAACGAACATAATATATAGAGAATAAAATTTAAAACACATGAACCAGAATTAAAAACAAACTAAAAATACTGATAAGTCTTGAGACCAAACTGGCTGATCATCAAAGTAGGGGCCTTTCTCATATCCTTAGGAAGGCCAGTACCAGCAGTGCAGAAGAAAAAACTTTAGCCCAGGCAGCAAAGGTCAAAACCAACTTTTGAAACTCTCTTTTCTTCTACACATTCAACTCAATAACCCTTAAGGGAACTGTGGCGCCCTCTTATTAGGGAGAACTAGTTTTCCCTTTAAATGTGCTCTTTACTTCTGTAAACTGGATAAATTCAGCTGCCACCAAGAATTTAAGGATTTCCAAATCTTCTCTCTGTTTCTCTTACTGGTAGCGTTAAATGGGGTCTAGGCTTTCAAGGATCTAATGTGGTCCTGAGGAAGAATTGATATGACTTCTGGGATATATTTAAATAAAATAGGATTTATTGAAAGAGGAACAAAACAAGAGGCTGGTAATTATGTAACTGGCTGGGAATAAGGTTCTTGTAAATATATTTGTCAACTGTATCACACACACTCTCAGTTTTAGTCCTTAAGATTCCACCCTGACAGGAATCTCTCACTTAGGCGACCACACAGTTTAATCTCTTGGTAAATTTAACTTCGTTAAGAACTTTAAAGATTCACTACTGAAGATACATGCTGCTTTCTCTCAGATCCCACACAGAACTAACTGAACTCTCCCTCTGAACAACATCAACTCAACTTTTTCAATTCCACTGCTTTCTCACTAACTGACCCTCCTGTCTTTCATAGCTGACACTCTGACACACCCACAGATTCACTTCAAAAACCCCTCCCACACTCTGCCATCCACCAATCACAGCACATTTCTCTCTCCCAATCATTCTAGTCTGCTAAGCCATGCACTTTAACCAAGCATTTAAAGGCACACACACTCAAAAAATAAGGAATTGTTACAGGAACCCTCCTGTTATTTAGCAGTAAACCTATTACAGGCCTTAGTCCAAAGCCGTTCTGCCTGACACAATCTCTGATGCTCCCCAGTGCTCTTAGCCCTTGCTCATACCTGTCCCTCCCCAGTTCTCTGGACAGTTCTCTCATCATCCATCCTAAAACAGCAGTCCAGTGGTGCTTTAAGATTAACAAAAATAAAGTGCCCCTGGGTTCCTGCATTATTTGATTGCTATGGATTAACATGGCTACTCATCTGGAATGATCCTCCATCTTTTACTCAACTTGAGACTCAGAGGTTGCAAACTAAAATAAAGGTCCACATGGACAAAATGGAAACACCAGACGCTTGTTTTCAATCATCTCATTACAGTAGTTCAGTTTCTTTTCTTCATTCCCCTCCTTCCCTTTCATGCTTTCCCACCTTGAACCTCAATCAACACACTGATTTCCTCTCTCTCTTTATGTAGCTCTTTGGACAGAAAGTTGTTCCATTTGCCTGCACCCATTCTCTGGACTGATTGTAAGCCACTTTGAGACTCCTTCAGGTAGAGAAAAGCGGGGTATAAAACCCTGTTCTTCTTCTCCTATCCAGGCCTTCACACCTCTCACCTCAGCTTCCCTTTTCCCACCAGTACCTCTATTCTTCTCTCTGTACAATGAAATAGGTTTGCCTTTCCTGACAGGTCTTGTTTGCCTTTCCTGCATCCCATTTGCTCCCTCTCTCTCTCTCTCTCTAACCTCCCCATCCTTGATCAAACCATCTTATTATTACAACCACCTTTGGCCTGATATGTGGGGAAAGCTGGATTATAAATGCTTTAAAACACAAACAGTGGGAGAACACTTTTTTCACTCATAAACCACAGACTATTGACTCTTTAGGTAGGACACTCACTGCATGCATTAGAACAGCAAGTATTACATTTACTCTACAATGCAGACAGACACTGAACGCAAAAGAGAAACAGCTCTCACTGGGGGATGCATCAAGAAACTGGCATGCCATTCTGCAAGCTAGTGGGGCATGTAAGAAAAATGCCCAGTATGAACACATTACAGAAGCCCCAGTTACGGCCCCCTACAACATGTACAGACAATGTACAGGTAGGTCAAAACCCACAAGTCATGCCGCAGTACGCTAGGTGGACGGGGCGTAACTGCTAACCCCGTAACACGTGAGACGCCTCAAGCGCAGAACCGGATTCCACCTCCAGGGCTCACGAGGTCCAAATACGAAGGAACCCCCAAGGGGGCTGTCACTTAACATGGGAAGAGTGCCTCCTATCGCACTGAAACGCTTCAGACAGCCCGTTTACAGAAGGCTTTCCAGGCAGCCCTAAGCCCGACCCCTGTCCTCAATACAAAGCGCTTCCCGCCCGCTGCTTACGGGGCATCCTGGTGAGGACGTTGCGCGGCGCCCTCCTGCCCCGGGCTCTGGCCTTCTCGGCCGCCTCCTCCCCGGGCTCCTTGGCCACCATGAGGCTGCGGAGGCGCTCGATGCGCTCGGGGTCGGCGGGGGCACGGCCAGGGCGGCTCCGGGGACGCGTCCCGGAAGGGCGGCTGCTGCGGGCCGAGGCCCCTCGCTGGCGGCCGGGACCGCGGAGCAGGCCGCGATGGAAGCTCTCGTACTCGGCCAGGTTGTTAAAGCAGGGCGCGGCGGGGTACGGCAGAGGCGTGCGCTCCGAGTACAGCGCCAGCAGCGGGTCAAAGCGCTGCGAGCTCACGTCCAGGCGGTCGGGGCTAGGCGACCGCTCCGAGCTGCTGCGCCCGCCCGAGCGACGGCGACGCCGCCTCGGCCCGGCACCGGCCTCCGCCTCCTCCATCGCTCCCGCTCTTGCCCTGGCCTTGCTGGCTGGGAGGGGGAAGAACGGCCCGCAGCTTCCCGCGCTCGCCGCTAAGGGCCGCCCCAGCCCCACGATAGCATATCCACCGCAGGCTCCTTCCCGCCCTCTCAGCGGCGCCTGCTCGCCCAAGATTGGAGGGACAGAAACCGATTAAATGCCGGACCGGGTTCTGGAAGGGCTCTCTGCGCCTTGCGCTGCTTGGGAAATGCTGGCTGGAGCGACTTAATCTCTCGCCGATGCTCCCCAAACACCGATTACATTGCTTTTCACGACTGCCACTGCAGAAGGCTTCGCCTTGGCATTGCTCGACTTTAGGTAATCTGAAATAACGAATAGGTCCCAATTGGTCCTCTCCCCCCCCCCGCCCCCGAAACGCGTTTGTTATCTCTCCCAGTTTGAGACCTGCATTAGCCAGAGCCGACATCGGATTTTAAATGACCCTCTGGACGGTGCTTTCTCGCCAGCATAAACATTTACTACTGCACACGAGAATGGCCAGAGAGACGTCCATTTTGTTACTTGTGAAGGACATCACATCAGCACAGATCAAAACTATATATCCTAAGGGTATTTCAGCACCCTGCTTGAAGATGATAAAAGGGTATCCAGAAGCTGTTTACACCCAAAGTCTGTGAGCTAGCTCACACTAACTCAGCTTAGAGGGAACACTGACTACTGCACACAAGAATGGCCAGAGAGACTTCCATTTTGTTACTTGCGAAGGACATCACATCAGCACATAACAAAACCATATATCCTAAGGGTATTTCAGCACCTGCTTGAATATGATAAAGGGTACCCAGAAGCTGTTTACACCCAAAGCAAAATTCAAAACCAAGAACACAGTCTACATGGCACCTTTTAAATAAAAGGCATTGTGTGGACTGTGTTCTTGGTTTTGGAATTGTATTCAGGTAAATGATAGCTAACAGAACCCTCATTAAGTAGTTTATCTTCTGCTCCAGCACACGTTAATTGTAGAGGTCAATATGGGGGTCCCCAACCATTTTAATCCTGTGGGCACTAATCCTACCAATAAAATGTTAATGAGAAAAATACTGAGATAGCATGGTGGGCGCAGCCACAAAATGGGTGTCACAAAACAGCTGCAGCAGAAGGCAGAATTAGCCACTGCAGCTTACCTTCAGTCATACAGTGGAGATCCTTGTGCTGTGGTATCAACTGCTGCCAAATCAATATTTCTAAAAAAAATACACAGCCAGTCAGATCTCTTAACAGCCAATCAGAAGCGTTGTGGGGCAAAAGCCCCACTTGGCTCCACCCACTTTCTAAATCACTTGTTGGACACCACGAAAAATTTTGGCACGCACCATGGCACTCATGGGCGCTACATTGCGGACCCCTGGCTCTATGCAGAGATAGAACAACCACCTTTTTTGCTCCTACTATGGAAGTGCTACTGAAATGTAATTCATGGTCATAGCTGGATTAGCACATTTTAAGATGCATCTGGCCAGAGCTGCAGCAAGGAGGCCAACCCATGTCAAATTTAAGAGGCTCCACAGCATTACCAAAAAGGGAATGGTAGTTTAGTAATTTTTATTCTTTTATTTAGCGGCCCTTCATAATCTAAGACCCTGAAGTTTGTTTACCATGTGCATAAATCTGGTTCATGATATCAGATATTAAAATCTTTTTGCTGTTTGTGAGCTGGTGAAATTATTCCCCCTCTCCCCAAATCCAAGGAACAGTCACACATCAGATCTGGTTTTTCACCCCCACATTCCAATGAAGTCTGTTTTATTTATTGACTCAGGGGAAGCAAAGAGTGAAAGACCTGTGAATATGGCCCACTAGCCAGAAATTTTGCAGATATGGTAACGAAATTAAAGATGCAATCACTTCGGTGAACCATACACTCACACAACCATTCACAACCATCCCATAACCCCTTAAGGTTCACATTGCAACTTAAACCACCAATGTCACCCAAATTCCAATTTGGGTGTGGTGACACCAATCATAAACTAGGAAATCATGTTCCTAGATATGCAGAATAGAATACATTTAAGTCTCCTCCCTGCATTGCATATACAGGATCCATCTGCCTTACTTGTAAAGTCCAAACACATTGTTCATTCTACATATTATGCTGTGTTCGTGTGTATTTATTGCATTGGCTTCTAATTTTGTAATCTAACAATATTACTGTCCATAGTATGTCTTGCATTACATTATTTTCCTATCAATTACTATGTTTTATATGCTGTGACTGGCCTGAGCCCAATAAATAAATAAACTCTTGCATTACTGTGTTACACTGTATTTTTAGTGCAAGGTTCTCTCATTTTGTTTACAATTCCTATGGAGTAACTGTCAGTTACATATATTATACTCTTCATAATCTTATTGTTTGTAGTTGTAATCCAGTTTGAGACTCGGGGCAAAAAGATCCAGTGTGGCCCCAGTTCTAATTGATCCAGGGTTTTTTTTTTGCAACTGAGAGTTTTGATCAGACCGAACCCCTTCACCCCATCCTTGATCGACCAGACACAGCAGCCAGGGAGTGGGGCAGTCGGGCAGCTTCCTTTTAATCATTAGTCTTCCAAGCATGCGCATAAGCACTGATGAGAATCAGCGCTTCAAACTCCTGGCAGAATGGCGGCAGCTGGTGGCCAATGGGATTGCTGGAGGAGGCTGCTGGGAAATGGAGTCCAGTGTGAGGGTAGTGTTTTTGAAACTGCTTCTGAGAAATTCTACGTTTCAAACATTTAAAAGTGGGAGAGGGGGAATAGAGAAGCTTATTCCTGTGTCCTGTGCGCTGCTGGTGTTTTTCTTTAAAAACTTGGAACAAAGCTGAAGTCACTGACTTAGTTCTCAGACTCCCTCCCCTTCCCTCCCTGAAACAAACTCATCTTGTCAATTAACCCCTTCCCTACTCTGTGTGTCACAAAGCTGTAGGCAGGAGAAAGCTGAGACACACAAGCGGTGATCCAGTCATGTGTACATCACCATAAAGTATCTGATTTTCCCAGTGTCAAGAAAACTGTGATGAAGGAAGGTTGATTGTGGGAGGGCGATGAGTGCCAGACGGGATGCAGATGTGGCCACCTGATCATGCATTTTAAATCCATTAGGGAGTCGCAGCCACACTGGCACAAAAGAACTGTGTGATCACTGCGTCAGTGAGAAAAGCAGATTCTGAGTGAAGTAAATATATAGATGCCATTAGCTTGTTCAGAAACTACTAATTCTAAAACCCACTCTTGGTGGTGTTTTTATCTCAAAGCATTAATCACATTTTGTCACAGCAACTCCTGAATCAGTGGTTCTCAACTGGGAGGATGCAGACTATTCATAAATTTTACTAAAAATTTACTCTCCCTCAATTGCTTTGTTTACCTGCAGGCATGATGTGCCTTTGCCTGCTGTCTGTACTTGCCACAGATCATCCATCTGCAGCCTTTTGGCATGCTAACAGTACTAACAATGTCTGTAAACATAAAGGTCTTTCTCAGCCAAAGTGGGCTTTTTGTTTCTATCATGGTGAGACCCAGGTTCTTTCATGGCCCCACTGGTGGACCTCCTGATGGCACTGGTATTTCTGGCCACTGTGTGATACAGAGTGTTGGACTGGAAGGGCCTTAGACCTGATCCAACATTGGCATCTCTTATGTTCTTAAAAAAACACTTGTGTGGGGGTGTGGTTTGGCGCCATCAAAGATGGATGCCTAGGGACTTGGCTCTCCTCTTCTACCCTCTCAGAACCTCACAAATCTACGCTTTATCAATCTGCATACTAGACATAATATGAGGAAAACGGGATCCGATAAACTTGTATTGACATCGGCAGCCTCTAAAAGCTTTCCGGACTTATTCAACAAAGCTAATTCATCAACAACAGAAGACGCTGATGTAGAGGCTGAGGTGTCAGATTTAAGTAGATGGCAGTGGAAGAACAAGGTATGACTTCCCCCCACTTCGCTTTGATTGAGGTAGTCTTGGCGGGAATGCTACATAATCTGGAACAGAAACTTATGGAAAGTTTGATGGCTTTAATTAAGCCTATAACAGATCAGTTTGCTGACCTAAGGATTGCTTTAACCACTGCGACTCAAATAGTAGAATGTACCAATGAACCGTGTCTTTCCCTCAAATAGGACGTACATCTACTTAAATCTGACACCTCAACCGTGAAAGATCGAAAATTAATGTTAAGCTGCTGAGTAATGTTCTAACCTCAAATTCAGAGGCTTTGCAGAGCATCTAGACACTACTGTAGAACTGCCCAAACTGGTTAGTGCGGGAACTCTCACTAGAATTGTCGCCCTGTTTGTCACTGCTGCATACAGACTCAGTTCCCTTACTCACCCAACCCACAGAGGCCCAAGGGACATTCTCGCTGTCATTCCAAACCCAAGAACTCGCAAAAAAACAAAACAAAACTTTGACAAAGCCAGAATGAGAGGGTTGTTTTCCTTTAAAGGAGACAGAATTCTAGTGTTTCCTGACCTCCCACAAGATGTCCTCATCAAGCGCAGGGAGTTGTGCTTGATCACTAAATCGCTCCACCACACCAAGATTCATTATAAATGGATTAATCTTACCCGATTACAAATCACACATAAAAACCACTTGTATAGATGTTGTTCTTCAGATCTCTTTTAGCCCAGCAACGGATAGCTTAGTTGTTACTTATGGCAAACGACAGTCTTCATGGGATCAGTAGGAATATGAACCATCCCAATAAAGATAAGTGGTATGATGTGAAATAGAAGATATGTGAATTTACATACAAACTTAAAAATACAGAATACTGTTTTGGGTACAGCAGTCAGTAGGCACAAAGACCTATTACAATACTGGATGGGAAGCGCTTGATGGTAGCAGCCATAATGTTGCCCCATGGCAGTGAGTTCCCTGGTTCATAAGTTGTGAGGAATGCTTCCTTTTCATTACTTACTGCAATTACTAGTAAATTTTATGACATCCCTTCCTCCAGTGCAAACAATCCTCTGCAGTAGACTAAGCTGCAGGTGACTATTCCTGGGCTACCATGTAAATATCATGGATGAGTGGGGATTTGAACCAATGTCTCCCTAGCTGTAACTCCATACATTAACCGTTACATCAAGCTGTTCCTCTGAAACACTCTTGGTTTTCTAGTATTGCTTGGATTTTAAACTTTTCCATTTCTGCAGTGCTGCCCTTATTGTAGTGTGTGCTACTCTGGTGCTGGACACTTTCTGCTTGCATAAAATCAGCATCTTTCAACAAACAGAAGACACTCAGCATTGTAAGAACACACTCAACAGCATTACCTCTGCAATGGAGGACAGTGTTGCAGAGATGTAAGGTAAGTTCCAACCCCATAAAAGTGAAATATGAGTGAGATTTTTAATTTAGTTTTTTAAACTGTGAAGTACTTTCACTAAGGGAGCTGCGGTGGCTCAAGAGGTTAAGACGCTGAACTGCAGGCTGTGGAAAGTCAGTAGTTCTGCAGTTCAAGACCCGAGTTGCTGCATGACGGAGTGAGCTCCCGTCTCTAGTTCCAGCTCCTGCCAACCTAGCAGTTCGAAAGCAAGAAATTGCAAGTAGATAAATAGGCACCACTTTGGTGGGAAGGTAACAGCATTCCGTGTGCCTTGGTGTTTAGTCATGCCGGCCACATGACCACGGAAACATCTTCGGACAGCGCTGGCTCTTTGGCTTTGAAACGGAGATGAGCACCGCAACCCTAGAGTCGGATTTGACTGGCTTTCGAGCAAGGGAACCTTTACCTTTACTTTCACTAAGCCACAGCAAGTGCTTTAAAATACTAATGTATGGGGTCTCTCACATGGCACAGTACCTGCTAAGTGTACTTATAAAGCAGGCAGGACAAGATGGTGCTTTTTGAATTTTTTAGCTTTATGGTATAATACTGACATTGGCTTTATGTGAAGTACTTTACCTGTGCAAACAGTGGAATGATATTCTAAAAATACAGTAGGACTTGATTCTGACTAAACACAATTCGGTTCCGTAGCTAAAATGCTTAACACACTTAATTGGAACACCTACTTGAAGTTTAGTGTATTTTGATCATTCAGATGGAGGTTGACAATAACATCACAACATCACATTTTGTTCACTTTTCATAAAACATTTATGTTCCTATCAAAATCTGGCCAGATTCCATCTCTTACTGAAAATATATGCAAGTACCACTCACTCACTCTTCAGCACCAACTGGCAATTGTTACAAGTAATACTGCAGGCTTAAAATGGGTGGGCTTATGAGAGAAAGGCTCATGTAAAGGGGATAACCAGAAGAAGCACTTTTCCCCTTTCACATGAGTGTGTAAGATGCCTGAAAAAGATAGATAGTGAACGTATGAAGAGCCCTGCTTGATCTAGTTCATCTAGTCCAGCATCCTGACTCACACAGCCTGAGATGTTCTGCCAATGTTGCCTCTTGGTTCTGGGATTCACAAGTATAGTGCCTCTGAATGTGGAGGTCCCGCAGTCACCATGGCAAGTCGCCACATGGCAAGTCGCCATCCTCCATGATGCCAGATGAGGGTTTCTTCGCTAGCTCAGTACGTTTACTTATGTATGCAATGAAATATTATGCATGAACTCACACCTTGACATTTTATGATTAGCTCTGCCTCCCACAGCAGGCATTTTGTGGTTCTACCCACCACCCCTATGTCAGAGTTCCAAGAGTGCCTGCACAATCAAAAAGGGGCAGGGATCTCTGTACTAATGCAAAGGAAAGAACACACTCAAGCTATACCAATACAACACGGACTGTCAAATTGACAAATGGAGAAATTTCTACTTTGATTCCAACACTTCTGTGACCCCACCAGTATACCCTGCATCAGAGGGGAAGCCTGTTCTACTGGCATTTACAGGCACCCTCACCTCTAAACTACCCCAGGGTACCCCAAAGCATTGTTCCTGGGCCTATGGGTAGTCCTGGAAGGGACACACATATGATCATGGGAGCTTGCCAAAAATATGAACCCTGGAGGTTTACGGGAAACAGAACATCTGTCTTTTCTACATGCAATCTGCCCCCCCCCCCCAGGTAAGTATCAGAGTTCTCAGAATTCCAGCACGTCCCAGTATGGAGATCTTCCTTCTCTGAAAGTCCCCCCCCCCCATTGATGTATAAATCTTCTTTAGTGACATTTCTCTGCAAAACACCTACTCTGTCCTTATGGCCCCTTTCCTGGGCCAAACTTTCTTTAAAGTGTAAACATTTCTCTGGAAATCAGATTTATGGTTCTCCCCTTGGGCCATTCTCTGGGTTACAAAAACATATTTAACTCTGAAGTATCTGATGGTTTTGAAATTGTATTCAGGTAAATGATAGCTAACAGAACCCTCCTGCACATCTGTATAGATAAGCGTTTATGCGCACAGCAGAGACAGCACAGAAAGGAATGCAGTAGCAATTAACCTGAAAGGAAAGCAATAGCAATTAACCAGACACAGACCAACCTCCCCAACCTTCATGGCAGCATAGCTGACAACAACTTCCTAATCACTCTAGTGCTATGTATACATACCCACCCACCATGTTCAGTGTTGCAAAGATTTATCTCTGAGCTATAGTATTACATACTCTGATTAATCCCATTTACTTAAAAAAAATCACTATATGTGTTCACTATGAATACCCTAAACCAATCCAGACATTAGTTCATTATTTCAATACCAGTCATCAAAATGACCTGAAAGTATTTAACTGTATCAGCGAAGGACAGAAAATGGCCACAACTTCAGATTAGGTTTTTAAAATTATTATTACAGCTTGCCTCACAAATGTTTTAATATAATACTAAAATGCCTATTTCTTGCAGATATGAGAGAGAGAGAGAGAGAGAGAGAGAGAGA